TTACTAGGTAGTTAATGCATGAACTGCACCATGTTATTCTACGTATTTATATATATATATATGTATATATCTTAAAATATTAGCACTTTATCATGTCAATGGGCGTTGTGGTCGGATAATCTATTAATATCATTATTAAGGAGCCTTTCCATCTTGCTTGAAACAAGCCAGAAACTTACTTTTGCTGATCATTCCTGAAAGGCAGTACCGTAAAGGCTGTACCGATCGATCTGCATTACTCGAATTAAAAACTCATTATAACGATATTGGCTTCTACACTTAGAGTAGCTGATAATTTTTAGAAATTTGACGATAGATTGGTCTCAGACACTCTCAGTAGACTCTATTACCTGGATGAAATGTTTATTTATGGAGAGAGATCTACTTTTATGGAATAGTATAGTACGGAACTATAGTACTATCTACTGTACAGTACAGTAGATAATACGATAGGTTTGTACTGTACCCTCCCTATAGTCAGTAAGTCAAAATCATGACTTGACAAATGTACCAGTATGTAGACTTGACTACTGTACCAGTATGTAGACTTGACTACTGTACCAGTTTGTAGGCTTGACTACTGTACCAGTTATGTAAAGGACAGTAAGTCGATAACTGATGTGATAAAAGGCCAAAAATGGCCGAAGTAACTTGTTCCGACAAGGATAACGCTGTGTTAAATTGCATTTTCAATCCTCACCTGCCGCTAGGTGATGCCTCAGCGGCCACTGCAAAACCAAGTGATACTTTAATTGATAGTGAATATGATTCGCAGTTACTAGAACGAGCGAAGCAATTAGAAGTAGAAGGGATCAAGCATGCGGAAAGAGGAGACGTGGCTAGTGCAATCAACAAGTTTAGTGAATCGATTCAGCTTTTGCCTAGCAGACCGTCCGGTTATAATAATCGAGCGCAAGCACTTCGATTACATGGAGACATCGATGGTGCAATGGCAGATCTTGACAAAACCATTGAATTCAGTTCTGGGAAAGGATTGTCTGCATCACAAGCTTATACCCAACGAGCTTTGCTTAAGAAATTATCAGGTGATGACGACGCTGCGTTGGATGATTTTAAACGTGCGGCGGCGTTAGGAAACGACTTTGCAAAAGCACAAGTTGTCGAAATGAATCCTTATGCTGCTATGTGTAACCAAATGCTTAGTTCAGCTTTTAAGAAACTTAAAGGGGAAAATTCTTAAAAGTGGATCCGTGATGCTTACCAGTGAAGTTTTCCAACTCGATTGTAACTAGCCAAGGAAGATACTATTTTGCTATCTATGAAACATCCACACCAATTGGGAAGCTTTATCAAGTGCAGTGTTGACCTGGAATCCCTCCTACTCTATAACAAATTAAGTTTCGTTATCATTTATAAAATAGTGCTTTGTAGCAGCCTTATTGTAAATGATTGCAGCTGATATCACAATGATAGTACAGTAGATGCACAGTACGTAAGGTCGTAAGATATTTTTACGATTCTTTGGATATTCGTAACTTTTAAAAGAGTCAAAGATCACTAATACAAGTATAGTATACATCAATTTAATTTGGATAAATGAATGATATGCAGTAGTTAGTCTTTATGTCTACTCGAGTAGGTAGCTTTTAAAATTTGACAGTGGCATTGTGAAGTATACCTACCATGGTAAGCCTATCTAAAATAGACAAACAAAGGCATGTGTGCAGTTAACATTCATATGTGATACGATATAAGACGTTGTAAATACTGTACAATGCAATGAGTACCAGAGATGTGACAAATTTTAATAGATTTTCCTATTATCATGCTATTTATTCATTTACATTTATTCTTAGGCATAGCGATCTGAATTGGTTGTAAAGTCTTGATACCAACCAAAGGAGATCGATTGATTGCCACAATTTTAGACTAGTCGATGAGAAATGTATGAGTACAACAGTGTCAGCAACGTACCGTATTGATTACTGTTGTAACCTCTCAAAGTCGCAATCGTTGCAATCTGTTTTTAGCTCTAAAAGTTCTAGCTCGAAATTGATGCAAAATATCATTGAATTTTATGTTAGAGGATTTCTTTGAAAGTTAGCTGGTTGCAGTTACAGTGATGTATTTTCTAGGCTTTGCTAAGCTTACATTGAGTATGTTAATTAAATATAGCGCCTTGATAGTGAATTGATAACAATAACTAATAAAGAATATTCAAAACGAACTTCCAACGCAAGATGGTACTACTTTCCATTTCAGAACTCCAACTTTACAGGAAAGAGCAAGTAACCTTCAATATCTACGTAGTAGAGAGGATTGTAGTATTCAGGATGCTAACGAGAGGCTTAGCTTTGCCATCCTTCCATCCCATAGTACGAGTGCTGTAGGTGTATTATACAGTATACCTTACGGCTATCAAATTGAAAGTACGACTTATTGATATTACATGTTTCTTTCATACTATTCTACCTCATGTATCGTTAATGATGATGATAGCTACGGCTACTGGCCTCTAGATGTGACAAATGAAATTAATATAAACGAAATAAGAGAATCTCCAATCTATATTTGATATGAATTCCATTTAATTTTATTTATTATTGAAAATTATTTAAATGAAATTACTGTTAACAGCGGTTCAAAGTTGTAATTATAGCTAGTATTTCAAAATTATAATTATTCACATTATCGTAAACTATAGAAAAGTATTTTTGCTATTGGTATTAATGGTCAGCGTACATAATCGTTATTAATTTACTAATTTAAACGAGTATTCGAATACTGCATCAAAGCAGATTCTGATCATGGTACTTGAGGAAGTGTGTACCACTTTTCGATTCTTAAATGATTGTCGAGTAAAATGTTTACCTGAATGGCTACCTACTTACAAGTTATAATGCAATGATAGCGTAGTAGAGAATAAATACGCCTGTATGATGTAGTAAAGTCGATGCAAATTTGATGCAATACTATTGTAATCGCTAAACAGAGAAGAACTCATGGCTGAATTACTCACCATATAAGAAATTATCATCGTATCGATTACACTAGTAGATATAGAAACGTCGATTTGAGATTACTTATAAATATTTGTACATTTTGTAGGTAAGATTATAACATTACTTTTACAGACTTATCGCCCGTTCGAATCAAACTTACTTCAATATTATAAATTTTTAACTCCTAAGTTGTCGAAGATTTACTATACTCTATAAGAATCATAAAATTTCTAAATATATCCTATTTCTAATATTCTCCTATTATAATCGAAAGAATTTTTACTAGATATCCATAGTCCTTGATTTACACAACTCACATCGTTATTAGCTACTGGTAATCCTTTTTAAAGAGTGTCTATCATCTTGCCTACCAGTTTATGACATAAACGCAAAATCCAGTAATCCAATCGCGAATTTGACAATTTGAATATTACATTTTTGCTACAACATCAGATAATATAGCGGAATAATTTACATTTTCTGTGAGGACAGGTAAATCGATTGTAGTGAAACTATTAACGTCCATTTTCATGATCGCTAGGGCTGGAGGATTTAAATCTTTCTTCGATTCATGAAGTGATAAACTTGGGAAATTAACACTCAAGTAAGGATCTTCTTCATAATCAGGAGCATTCATAAGCCTGGACTTTCTGGACGGCCTGATCATAATATGAATAAAAGCCTTATTTAGTATCATACTGAGATGTTAATTTGTAACTGTTAATGAATATATAGACTCATAGCTGAATGTCTATAACACTGAAATCGAATACAATTTACGTCAAGACTATAAAAATTTGGCAATCTTCCATTCAGACAATTATAAAGTTTCTATATTCTCTTTAAGGTATTTAAATTAAGTATAAATCTGAATTCTATCAGGCATACAGTATATAAATAAGATTGTTTACCTTCCACGTTTAGTGGTTGGTGTAGACTTCTTATTCTGATCTTGTGCGCCATCAAATAAGCGAAATAAGAGATGCGGATCTCCATGAGTAATTTTTTTAAACTTTGCTGGGCGCGGTAAGATTTTTTCTCCGGGAGGAGTAACTGGTCTGGTGGATGCTATATCTTCGTAGCTGTCATGTACAAATAGTGGAGGTAATGATGTTGGTAGAGGCTGGCGCGATGTTTCCGAAGTTTCTAGCTCCTGCCAAAACGATTGGGGTAGGGCTCTTTGCCTCATTGGTAATGGCTCTGCATAAATAAGGATCACTTTATTATAGCAATTTACATAATTGAGCACTGTAACATCCATATAAACTACCGAGATCAGTCTGTGTTACATATTTATATTGTCTATTAGAATACTGTAGAAAGCTTCAATAAACCAATTTGTCGATCAATTTGATTGTGTAGCAAATAGAATGTATTAATATAGTAATAATTTAGTCATCACACCGTTACAGTATGAAATACACGTGATAATATTTGATTTCTAAGTCTGTTTGAAAAAATGCTGTACTGGACAGTAAAATTTAAAAAATTTTAGAAAATTGATTTCATTTAGTTTGCAATAATGTCAAAATTCACCCGATCAAACGAGACTTATATTTATTACCAGTTTCATTTGTAAGGTCTACTACCCTATGCTAAATAATAGTGATATTATTAGTGTGCCGTACCTTTCATTCGTCGAATTCTAAGAGAGTGCTCTCGGCATTTCTTTCCTAAGGTCGACGGCGGTTTTTCAATTTCAGATTGTTTCTTCTTAATTTTATCTATGCGCGGAAGTTTGATGTATTCTAAATCCGTATTAATGTCAAATTGAACGGGTTCAGACTTGCTGTTATTTCTCCTATTACTATTACTTGGGTTTGAGAGTAGTTTTAGCGACATTCTCGTCTAATTGACAACGTTGACTTCTTTTTTGCTTTCAAAAGATGATATAAAGATGATCTGCAAGCTGAATTAAGATGATAGAATCAGGCCAATAGTCAATGTCTCTTAGCGTAAAATGATAGTAACTTTGCATCAAATGTTTTTAATGAACACGTAGAATGGTTAATTATAAAATTTTTTATTGTTTTTGTATATCATCAAGTATCTATCCAGTTAGGATAATATAACAGCTTGAGGCATATCTTACCAGAATATTTCTATAGCAGTCAATTAATATGATCGATAGGAAAGAAGATTTTAAAGCTGAAATGTTGATGGCATTCGGCAAAATCAGTAGTAATCGACGCCTACAGGGAGCAAAAATATCATTAAATGGCCACAATGTACGTTACTATTTATGTTGCAAATATGCAGCGGATGTCATTATAATTATCATTTCTTACCTTTAATTTCCCGGCAAAACACGTCTTAGTCTATTGCGTTTTCAACTTTCAGCTGTATCAAACACTACTATATTTCAGTATAGCCTTTCGAAGATGACTCATAGTCAATTCATTTCAATTACAGTATTATTATAGTGCCTTAGCCAATGATATTCACGGCATAGAAAGAGTGTGCTATAGCCTGACAAAGAAATTGTTTAGGCGTTGCCATTACAACGAATAGCAGTTAGATGATGTAATTGCTATATTAGGGCTGCTTGCACTATATCTGCGCAATCGCCATCACCTTTATCTTAGATGATTTTATTAGTATTAGTCATATATTTAAAGGGATTTAATGAATGTTGCATGTTAAAAGTCAAGAATTGTGGGATAGCTTTGTGGGTTAATGTAGATATTAGTTACTTATGCAATAGTTTGGTATAAGCTCGATAAAGAACATTGCAATTATTCAAATCTATCTACTAGTACTACGCTAACATCAGGTACAATATACTAGATGCTTCAAATCGTATGAATTTGCTCGAGACGATCTATTCTACTTTTATTCCATTTAGACGTTATAAATATATTTTTACTAAATTGTACGTATCTATTTCAAGTAGCGATAGAGTCATATAAATAATGCAAGTGAATTAGATAGACGTATAAAATACTAATGCTTTTATTGTAGGATAATGTCACGGTATGAACCTCCGTGAAGGGCAAATGATTAAATTTAGTGGTTAGCATTTATATACGGAGATAATTAATAATGACTTACAATAAGAATTACAGTTGTTATTATTTTGTTGCAGAAAACTATGCTGTACTATATTAAAAGCTCTTATACGGTAACTAATGTTAATTGATTATAGTGTTATGTCTTGTAACACTTATGATGAATATCCTGAAGATATTTAATTATAGATGATGCTATAAATAATTCTTTGCATGGACATACTATAATCTAGTTGTCTAGAATCGTTCAGTACATGTCTAAGATTATGAATGATTTCTGTATTAATTTAGCTATCCAATACGAACTAAATTTCATGAACTGTTATCGCTCATACAAGATAACAGCTACCGAAGGGTATTGAAGCTCGGCAGATAGTTGAATAAAAGAAGAGTTCTATAGTTGTTTAACGTTGAAGCAAAGGCGTCTAAATTCTTGTAAGATAGCTAAGGGATGCTAAATCCCAGAGACTATAGTAATTTAGAGATTTATTTTACGTTAGCTTTGTTACGAAGCTGGTTTGCGATAGATAGGCAATATATTTTATATAGAAAATGATATGTTTGTTTATCATTCTACTAAATTAATCATTCAACTATTCTACCTGGGGTCAAATAAGCTAGTTTTATGTGATAATATATATTTTTTCTTTATTGCTATCCGTAATAAGCGCACGTCGTCATTAAATAGTTGCATATACATAGTAGGTTGCGATTTGAAGTAACATACTTAATTATAGATTGTATACTTGTATATTTTGCGTATTTGTAGAATAATTGCAAAGTATATGCTCTCAATATTGCTGTACTTGTTTACTATACCTGACAATACTACTACTTTTATTAAATGCAGATAAAAAGAATTAGAAGCCCATAGTTATCATTATAGAACAAGAATGAATTTTTAAATCATGACGTAACAGAAATATAATTACAGTAATGCTTGGTATTTTCATATAGAATAAATCTAAGTAAAGCTAATAGTCAATCGTGACCCGATCGAAATTTACCGTACTTCATTCGCTATATATTTTGGTCAAAGTTCTATATAGCGTTACAAACTGCGATCAAGGTATGCTAAAATTTTTATTGACTTTCGGGCTAATCAATAATCTGACTTCAAACTTATACGCTATAATTTGTTATTATCCCAACTTAGTAGTAAGTAATATGTAATACCTAAAACCAGTCGTATGTCAATAACTTAAATCTTACTTTACTTTAGTACTATTATTTAGCCTCAAGAAGTTTCATTAAATTCCAGAAAATTTAAGAAAAATGACGTGCTAATTTAATATGTCGAATACAAAGAAGTGAAGCATTATAAATGAAGTTGTTATAAAATCGTGAATATCAGAAATTAATCTACCATTCTTTGCAATATATTTACGGTGATACTTACTTACGCTGGAATTTAAATGATTTGTACATAGTTATCTACTAATTGCCGCATTGATAATGAAATTTCAAAAATTTTCCCATTTCTTAAGCTCAAAATACTGCTAATTGATTACGAAATTTAGATAATAAAAATGAATATAAGGCTGCCAAAATGTCATGTGTGAAACGTATAGGGCGGATTTCACGGCAGGCTTTTCATATTTATTTTCAAACCTAACTGTTCAACTAGGCACTTGATAAAAGCTAGTTCCTACTGCGGCTATTTAAATAGTAGCGGTAATTTATAATGTTAACATATTAAGGACTAGTTTGAAAACATGCAAGTTTTCTGCATGATTATCATAAATTCGTCTTTACTAATCTGACCATCTCCATCGCAGTCAGCTACATCAATCATATTCTGTAATTCGTGATCAGATAATTTCATTCCACATTCTCTTTCAGCTCGCTTTAGATTATCTAAAGTTATTTTTCCACTTTTATCTAGTATTTAACATATTAATGGCAATTTTATTACGTAAATTTATAACTTCAGCCGCCTATCTAAGCAAGGTATTAGAAACTATATTTTAAAAGTGGCAAAACATGATTGTATCTACTTTTCAATTACAGGAAATTAAATTAAATTGTACAATATCAGCACTCATTACATACCATAGTCAAATAAGTCGAATGCCTAAAAAATTAAAATATAAAATTAAAATTGCTTTCTAAAATTAATGGTAATAAATTTTACAGCTTTTAATTGGGCTTGATAAGTATTTCATGTGGCCAAAATATAGTTACTAGGCGAGGAACATGAACTATTGGTAACTACAAGTCTTCAACGTGAATATACAGAATGCTGCTCGAGAATCGAGACATGTACTATCTTTGAGTATACCTGAGAAATTTCATCGAAAGTTCCTCTATCATTAACGCCTTGATCACTAATGAACTCCAGAAAGTCATTGAATGAAAATTGACTATAATCGAAAGCATTTCAATTTCATTAAATTTCCTAAATAATACCGATATCTTTGCGGTAAATGACACTCACTAGTACTTTATAATTAGTTGCAATACCATTTGCTTTACCGATATATTTATATACCTTTGCAATTTTAAATTAATGCATAATTATTGATTCGGTGATGTACGTAAAGATTACAGACAATTTATTTAACCGAAAGAAGGTATTGAAACATTTTATAATATTAATAGTTTATGATTATGCAAAGGTTTTGAATTTATCTGTGCAGCTAGTGTGAAGCTACCGCATACTTAAATTACGTAATCATTAATTTTCTGTGCATTCACTTTTACTACAGAACTTACAAAATCATTTACTCTACCTTGAATTATTCACGCTCAGTTCTTATGTCGTAATGATGACATGGAACATTATTTATGCAGACAAACGCGAAATTAGTATGTTACAAAAGCTACGATAAATTAAATCAATATGCAATACGAACCTAGCGGAACATTTCGCCACTTAAAAGACAATTTTAAATGTAATGATTCCGTAAAAAACTACTGAGCTAATTTTATCATTAGACTAGATCGAGACACAGAACTTACCCTGAACAGCGTCTAATTTTAACCTGTAGCCTAGCACTCTTAATGCTCGTTGCATTTCATGACATTCCAATGATCTATAAGAAGAGATCGAATTGTAAAAATATTTTTTTATTAATTTGATATCTTAAAATTTTTAGTTTATTCCATTAGTACTGAATTGCATCACCCTATAAATTTAATATCATAAAGATATCACTAAGAGAATGTTCTAATAGAAAATAATGTTTCTAATAAAGATGGGTTTAATACAATATTCGAATGTATAATTGTAGAGTTACGAGATGTAATAGATACAACAATTCAAATCGCAAAATGCTTCAAACAAGCCACAGGTCTTTTGTAGAATTTTTAAATTATTATCATTATCTAATAGCTAACAATTGCCAAAAGATTAGTCACAAATATAACCGCATAATGAAGATATGACTATCAGATGTTGATGATTAATGATCATTTAGAAATAGAATAAGTTTAACAAATGCGATAAGCAGGCAATTAATGAAGGAAATAATATTACCTATCTTCATCGATATCAAATGCGTCAAAAACTAATTTGAGGTCTATAATTTCTTGGTAGCTTAAACGACTAACAACATGGTTTGAAAGTTTTGAAGCTATAGTGTGCAATATAATAATATGATATTAGTACATAAAATCACTTAATCAACATTTCCAAGATTTATTAGGATTAGATATCAGAAAGATGAGTAATGTATCGTCGAAATTATTGATATGAATTCGTACAAAGTTCACCTGTTATTGTCTCTAACTGCTTTAAAAACATCTCTTGGCTCCATTTACCTTTATGGTTATCAACTTTGATAGATTCTATTTCCTAAAGATAAAAAATGCCAGTTTATCAATTGAAATTATATCAGATTTCGTCAAATGGTCTACCAAAGGTACAAATTGCCAAGAATAAATTAGAAGCAAATGGCATTTATTTGATACGAAATGTTTCAGATACAACACAGTAATTTTAAATATTTCAGCCAAAACATTACTAAATCTGCAGCTATGGACTCTTTATGCCGCAGAATTAGTCATTTATTAATTAGCCACGATGGAAATGGTTGAAAGTGGAATAGTAATTTTTTAGTTATTCACGTAATTAGATATATTGATGGATATCTATTCTACTAAGATATTAAATTTTAGTTTCAGACATTCAAAGATAAAAATAATCTCTCGACTCCACTGATAAGAATCAATCAAATATAATCAGTATAGTAAAGCTTATTAATTTATGGATGCTAGTATCCAAAATAGGGTTTGGAATCATGTAGTCAATTCATGATCTGGTCGTATAGTCCAATTTAATACGTTAAATTAAGCGAGAAGTTAATCTCAGGCTGTGGAAACGATAAATATATTTAACGATCGTAAGCTAGACCATCAATTATGGTGAATAAATGTTGTTTGAAATAGCAAAGTATCTGCAGCGGCTACATACAGTCAATAACAAAAATGACCTAGGTGAATATGTAACGGATAAACATGATATGACAACGTTCTGTTAGTAAAGCGTTCTTTATGAGTTGATTTACTTTAAAGGAAAATTTCGAAATAGATTAAGCAGACCTCGAAAATAAATATGTTCCTGATTAATAGTATCAGAATAGATGAATTAGACTGGTAGTAACTCATCACTTCTATCAAAATTATTGCTGTCATGTAATCGATCGCTGAGACATAGTAAGCGATATTAATTGCCGTTATCGCATAGCAAAATACAGATTAAGCGTAAAATCAAGCAATAGATACTCTATTTTACCACTTTTATCTTTGAATTCTCCATTTAAATATTAGTATTTATGAGCAAATTCGATGAAGCTTTATGTCCTCCAACGTCTGATAATTTGTGATGATGTGACAAAAGAATATAAAAATAAACGTAACGGTAATAGACATTAGAAATCACTGACTGAGAAAAGCTAAAGGATAGAAAAGATAATTTACATGATTTGTATTCAATAAGATTCATTCAACTACTATGCGAACTATAGTTGTAGTAAAAATACGTCAGATAAAGCACAATACAAATCTTATTTCTTTATTTTTTACCCCCAACATAGAATCGGCCTGCCTACCAGACTTCTTTTATTGCTAATAATAGACATTATTCTAAACGATATTGACTTTCTAGTTAAGGCCTTACAAGGATATTGTTTCAATTCAGTGTTGATATATTATTATTTCAGGTGGTAAATTTCCATAACAACCCTTGAAAACTGTATTTATTGATACGGTTTCAATAACTATCGGCTTAGAGCAAGGATAGAAACTAATCCGAGGCAAGAAACGTTACTCATGCCCTTTAATTTTAATGGTGAGCACATGCATCGATATTAGCTTTGAATTAACTATATCATCTATATTCCAGTATTATGACCACAAACAAAGCATTAAATAATAACCAACCATTCATGCAAAGAACAAAATTTGGTTTTATAGCTAAATGTTTTGAAATTTTCTACCGCCAATTGCAGTATAGTTTCATATTTGGTTAAAAAACAATGTAGCATATCGCTATACCAACTATTAATGCTATTAGTTTTTCGAAGTTCATTAGAGTTGATTTCTGTCACAAAACAGCTTTGCAACAAGATAACGTAATCTACGATCAATAAGTCAATTCCTTGAACTACGTATCAAGGAACGATATCTGCACTATCACGAGCACTTTTGCTCTACTAGCAGACTACACAAAGACTTAAACGCCTCGTATTTTACGTTAAACACTAAGTTGGACAATTCTCTTTATTTCACGATATACTGCATTTATATACTATTCCTCAATAGTTCATGAGTCATAGTTAATACAATTAACATTAGAATCATTTACTGAATTGGATATTAATTTTAGCTACTGCTCTCTTAATGCAGACAACAGTATTTACGAACATAGACATGTAATAACTAATACAGAATAGTCAGATTACGATATGTCCTATCACGGAACATTTCCATGATAATTTACAGTCTATCATAAGTAAATTACAATCACAATGATTCGAACTGTAAGCAGATGATTTGCATTCCCTATTATAACTATTATAATTTCAGTATGTGTATAAGTGTCACTGTCATAAAAGTCAGTGCTATATTAAAATACAGTATATCCAAATTAGAAGTTAACTAAATAAGGATAGTCTAACAGAATTATCCTAACATAGTTATTTCTACTGTAATACAGTATTTAACACTGTAACAATTTCGCTGTTGGTTTTCAGTTGAAAAGTGTAATATAACTTATGATTTACAAACTATGTTATGTAGCTTCTAAGTTAGTGTTGAATTAATAAGGCTTAATTTAAAGAATGGAAATTTTTCTAATTTCGATAATCAACGTTTTTACTTGCATACCTTATAGTAAGTTGATTTTGCAAAGCATTTATTACATAAAAGTGGTATGGTTATTGCATAAGTAAGCTACTAATTTGAATATCTGCCTTCGGGAACCTCAAAGCCTTGAAAATGTTAGAAATTACTTTATTCTCAAGGTCATAAACAAACATTAATTATTAATGCACTGAAATTTAAAAATTGTGCATATGTATTGTCTTCATCGTAAAAAAGTAGGAAATAGCATTTACGATTTTAGCATGTGCTAACCTTAAAAGTAACCAGTAGTGTATCATAGCCTTTATCCAGGAATTGATAGTATTAGTACAGGCAAAGATGGTTACTAGACATACTACTATCTGTTAATGCGATAAATTATATCATTGTACCGGTTTCATTATACATTTACACCACGCGAATACAATATGGCAAAAATATTATATTAATACTATGCCATGCTCTGTAAGGAAAACGTTTTTAAAGGATAAAAATTTTAATATGCTCGTATAAGCTATCAGTATTAGAAACGAATATTATATCGTACTGTCACGGTACGAACTACCGTGAAGAAATAGCTATCTAAATTTGGTTAAGATAATATAGTGATATTATATTACAACTAGTTACTTACAATAGGAATTACTCTAATTATAAATTTGTTACAGTGAATTTAATGCTGTGCTGTAATGTGTACTGAAATGATTCTGTGAATGGACATATTGTATTGCGACTGTGAAAAATTAGTTAGTAGATAACTCGTGAATGTTAGCTGCTGTAGCAGGGTATATAAGCCCTTCAGATAGTTGAATAAAGTAGTTCTCAATTGTCTAGTTGAGTTTAACGTAGAATCAAAGACGTCTAAATTCTTGTGAGGTAGTTAAGGGATACTGAATCCCGGAGACTATAGTAATTTAGAGATTTGTTTTACGTTATCCTTGTCACGAAGCTGGTTTGTGACACGTACTTATTCTATTACCTAGAATTTATACTCTATACGGGTGATAATAAAATAAGACTTTAAATTTAATCGTGTGAAAGTTCAGTTAAATATATTCAGATTATCTGTATGTTAATAATATCGGAACCTGTATTTCATTAGTAATTGCATTCTTGATGAAATAAAAACAGTAAAGGTAAACGCGTAAATTTAAAGTCAATTTCGTGATGAGCGTAGCTGCCGAATAAATTTAACAGTTTCTTGACGTAATATCGATGAGAAAATTTACTAGTATTAAAATAAAGCTGAAAAATATAATTTCATATCTCATTCTTCAATATTTCATAATTGTAACGTTACCTTTTCTGTATTTTACCATCAATGATTTCTATCGACAAGAAATAGTTCATAAATCTGTCGTTAATTAATTATTATAAAGCATAAAGTGACGGAAGAATTGATAATATCGTTCGATCGACCGTAATTTAGATCCCACTCATAGTAGTTCTCGCTTCACGGAATACCACTAAAGCAATATCTACTCTCTAACTCTCATTTAATTCAATAGGGATAAATATTTTAATACCATCTATTATAAATCCATCTATATTTATTGCCCTCATTAGGATTACCACTAATCAAAATGGTTAGAATGTCAATGGAGATTGCTCAACCCAGACAGCTATCGTAGTCAAGTTTGTAGATGTAGTATAGTATGATGTGCTCGAATATCGGTAGCGAGGACGTCAACAGAAAATGCTAGGTAATCTAGTAGATTCCTACGAAGCATAATAAATGCAAAATTCTAGGAAATATCGTACTTTCCTTACACGTCGGTAAAATAAATAAAAAGTGATGAATACTACGATAGTACATATTTAAAATTAACACCATTAATCAATTTCATACCATTTCGTGAGATTCCATATCGAACCATCTCTGCTGGATATACAATATTGAAAATTTTTACTATTTACAAATCTACGATTGATGTACTTGAATTCTGAAGATTTTCTTAACTTTCTGTTCAACATTGCATTTGTTTTCATTTAGATAGATTAAAAATATTAAGGTGGCAATTATGCCCATTACCGCGATTAAAACTTATATTCTTAGCTATCAACTAGATTAGAAATGAATAATTCTTATTAAAATTCGTGTCACTTCAACGAGATAAGCGGATATTTCTATGACTCCAATCAGCTTGTTCGGAAACCATTCTATGTTAAATTTAGACTCAATAAGGCTTACGCCTGACTAGATATCGATAGAAATTCAAATTTGGCTTAGATACAGCAGGCAAAGTCGTCTGTATAGGCACAACGACGATAGAACCACACAGATGCCAATACACAATCAAAAATTTTGATTTGTTAAATATCAATAAACATCCAATCTAGCAATTGCTTTACGATTAATAGCTGTATTCTTTCCAATAGCTTCTCTAATAAAGCATCATTTAAAATTCTTAGTAACAGACGCTGTATCAGATTGATTGTAAATACATTGTGTCAAATTTTCCCTAACACTGCGTATCGAAGGTGCCATATAATAATTTTAAATCTCCGGAGTGGCTTAGTATAGTATGTAAAATTGAATTACAGTATTTTTACCTCCATCTCTTTTAAATCATTCATTATATTTAAGACACCAGTAAAACCTACGTATACCAGCAACTAACTAATCTAACTGAAATCTTATAACTGGTACTAGAGTAAACTGCATAATTAGCCTCTAGGTAAGTTATTTGCTTTTCATATGTATGTCTTCTATGATAGCTTTCAATATTGTCTGTTCGCAATGACATAATTCCCCAATAATAATAATAAGAAATATCGTAGCGTATTTTGAGTTTACCTATTAAATTGCAATTATTTTTTGGGCAAAATACCATTCTAGCTTAGATTGCCAGTACATTTCTAATTTTGGCCGCAATTTTAATGACAAGGCGAAATCTACCGAATACTTACATTCATCCAAATTCATGAAATCTTGAAGAAATATTCAATACTGGAGTGATTCTATAAGGTATCTTATTAGCATTTCAAGCCTTAAACTAAAATCTATCTTCTTTTCCTTGTATTAAGGAAACAGATCAATGTTAGCCATTAATAATAATACGATAAGTCGGCGAAAATCATTAACGACTAATCGATCATAATAATTAATACTATTATAGCCTTTCATAAATGTGACTAATTGTATAGCTTTAACGATACTAAAGCAACGCATGATTAGTGATAAATTACTGTCAAATCGATGTTAAAATATAAAAGTACAAAAATTTCATACCAATTGCTTAAAATTAAATATTTTTCTTTATTCTCGTAATGAGCAGCTTCAGTAAAGTACAAACTATTATTATAAGATACCATCTACTCTCACATGTAAAGTATTAGTTTACGCTAACGCTTTCCGATTTTGTTCGCGTTATTTTTCAAATCATGTGATCTTATTTTCGAGCGCAAAAATCACTCTATCAATGAATTTCTTTAGTTTACAGACTATCTTACTACCATCTATAAAAAATTTCAACTTCAAACCGGTATCGTCAAAATCGAATTATGTAGGCAATTAAACTATAAAATTTGACAATATCTACAATATCAAGATATATTTTGCTAACTATGACATAATATTTTCATTGATCGCTTCCTGCATCATTTCATTTTTTGTAATATATGATAAAGTGATTAATAAGAAATCTTGGAGAAAAACAACGATAATTCGACAAAGAATTGTTAGTCATCCGTTAAGCCTTGTCATCGTCTTAAAATTCTTACGTGATTACGTTTACTTCCGTAATTTTTCTGTCCATAGACTATAAATATTCTTAAA